GCTGGAAAAGGACTTGTCCAATACGTCCAACTGTCTCAACCAGGTGTGCCAATAGTGGCCTTTGTCCCATCACTTAAGGGGTGAAGGCAGGAAGATTGGGAGTTCAAGGTGACTTTCAGGTACCTACTGAGTCCAAAATCAGCCTGGGCTACATGAGGCGCTCTCTCTAAAATAAAATGAGATAGAATAAGTAATTGACACTAGTGGAAGACAATGAGAATTGTTCAAAATGCATCTTGACTAAAGAATACATTATGGTAGAAGAGCAAGTACCCAAAATCCCTTTGAAGTTACAAGGGATTCACCTTAAAAATTATTTTATATTGCACACACACACACACACACACACACACACACACACACACACACACATCCTAGCAGAATTTAGACCATCATAGCATCTTAAGATCACTAAGGGGTGTTGCCCCACTTCACAGATCATGAGGGAGGAAAGCCCACGGTGTGAAACAGCCTCGAAGGGTCAGTCTTCCGCCACCTTCCACTGCTGCTGGCCTCTCTGGCTTAAATTCCTACATTTGTGCTAAACTCAAGAGCAACTGTCATTTCTCTTCTGATTTAGGGTTAGAAAAATGTGAGAACTGAGATGCAGGCCAGCAGAGGGAGGGGTTTACACCCACCCACGTATACGAGACTGCAAAGAAAACAGTACAAGCGCAAGGTGAGGAATACCAATTTGGTGTAATCTTGTTTGGTTGGCATCATTGGCTACCTTATCTATTTTTTAAATTATTACCTAAAAACCATGAGTCAACAGGACCTGGGGGTGGGGAATGAGGCTGTGGCTCTGTCAATAGGGTGTTTGACTTGCAGGAGGCCCCAGGCTCCATTCCCAGCACCGTATACTCTAGGTGTGCTGGGACATGACTGCAAGTCCAGCATTGAGGAGATGGATATTAAGCTTGAGGGCAGTCAAAGCTGAGAGGGGATGAGGGGAGAGGAGCGCTACACAGCTTTGAGTCTTTGAGGTGAGAGGAAAGACAACTGACAGGAAGAGCTCCCAGAGCACAGGGCTGTGTTAGTCAAACAGGGATCTGTGGTCATGGTGTGTTTACGGAAAGCCCCATTTTTTACAGCAATTCAAAGAGAGCAAGGCCAGTAGACACTGGGGCATGATGACGGCATCATCATGTCCCACATATGACTTGATGGTGATGAACAAAACTTGCCTGAGAACCGGCTCAAAAATGGCTTCACACCATGTCACACATGGCCTGCTGAGTCTTTCCAGCTCTGCTCTGGACCTTGGAAAGAGCAGCCACGTTTCTGGAATCCAAGGGAGCGTGTACAGCTTAGAGTGACTACACTGCTGAAGAAAATGTCCGCCCCTGTCCCGAGTGGCCATCAATGGCCCAGAGAGGGGCAGCAGCTCGAGCTTGCTGAGTTCTTTTGAAACTCCTGCTCATTGGTGCTGCCTCAGGCTTCTAAATCAGATGGGAAAGGGGACCACCCCCCTCTGGTGACCCTGCTCTCAGCAGACTTTCCTCATGATTATTAGCTGAGTACCTAAGTGTGAGTCATGTCTATGGCCATACCATCCTGAATGTGCCTGACCTCATCAAAATATAAGTTATCCTGAAATCGTAATTTCCTGAGTTTTTCTCTTGTTAATCGGCTTATCGTTATCTCACCGTTCATTAACACCTCATAAGGAAAGTTTGGGCTTCTTTAAAAACTCAGTTATATTATATGAAGGTGTTTTCGTTTTAATCCCAGTGTGGGATTTTAGTTGGGCTATAGTTTGTCCATGCCTGGTAATTGTCTCCTGCAGGTTGTAGCTTTTGCCAGCTGGTAACGGCCTGCCTCATGCCTCATGCAGCATGGAGGGGGCGTGGTCTGGGGCTGGGAGGGTATGAATTCGAGAGCTCAGAGAAAGACGAAGCGCAGCGCGATGTGTGCAGGGTCGATGTGTGGCAGATGCAGAGAAACGCTTTAGGGCTCAGCAGCTTAGAGGAGCCTGCCGGCTGCCTTTGCCGTCGACAGAGATTGGCATAGCCCTAAAAGAACCCCTCAGCCCTACACAGCCGGGAGAAGTAAAGGCGTCTGCTCCCTCTCTCCCCACTAACCTTCTCTCTCCTACTTAGGAATAATAAATAAATAAAACAGTTTAAAAACGAGTGCTACACACCTCTGCTAGCAAATACAGGACAGAAAACAAAGCCCCTGAGTATGCAGTAGAGAAAATATTTAATCCAGTTGATTTTAGTAAAAAAAGAAAAAAGGCTTTAGGGCTGGTGAGGCGACGGTGGGCAAGGCAGGTGCACCAAGCCCAGGAACCTGAGTTTTATCCAGAAGCCACATGATGGGAAGAGAGAGCCTACTTGCCCAGACTGAGCCCTGCCTTCCACATGCACACTGATGCATGCACAGGCTCGACACATACAAATAAGTAACATGATAACCTTTTTAAAGGATTTTTTAAGTAGCTTTAGGGATTGTCACTTTTAAGGTGCTACCTGTCATCTCTAAATGCACACTCATTTGTGTGTAAGTGTGTGTGTATGTGTGTGTAGATATGTATGTGTGCATATATATACATATTCATACATATGTATATACATGTGTACATACACACTACATGTATGTATGTATATATATAATATATATTAATATATAATATATTATATATATATATATATACTCAAGAGTGTAACTGCTCAGGCAAGTTACAAAATAAGTTTTAAAAATCTTGTGATGTTTAAGAAAGCTTATGCTTTTGTATTGAGCTTCATCCATAGGTATATTGGGGCACAGGAAACTTAAAATGTGGTTTGGCCATAAGAAGGGGAGTATACGGTTAGGAACAAAGCTCAGTGGGTATTACTTGCCTACAAGCAAGGCACTGGGTTCCATCCCACTGAATGAGACAGGAAGGAGAAGGAGAAGGAAGGAGAAAAGAGGAGAAGGAGGAACGGAAGAGGAAGGGAGAGGAGGGGAGGGAAGGGAAGAGGAAGGGAAGGGAAAGAGGAAAGAAAGAAGGGAGAAGGGGTGAGAAACAAGGAAAGAGAAAAGGGAAAGAAGAAGTTCCAATGCCTGCCCCTTCGCATAGTAAGGGTCACGGTGAGCAGCACCGGGGCCCATGCTGTGCCTCGGTGGGGCCATGCTCTACAGACTGCAGGCACTGCCGTCCTCAGAGTGCTGACTTGTCTCCTCACACATGCTCAGTTTTGGAGTAGCGATGGTCAGCCCAGTTCCAGCCAACTCTCTCCCAGATGGTTTCAAGGCAGAGATCAGACAGCAGGTAACAAGCTTTTTCCCCACATCTTCACACTATTTATAAAAAACAGCCCTTCCACGAAAGCCTTGCTGGTTGTCACAGGGGCCAGGTCTCAGCTCAAGGGCCAAACCACACGGTTCTTCACAGCAGCCAATCTATATCAAGGAGGCAGGAAAGGCTTGAAGAGAATCAAGGGTAATCAGGAGGGACTGCTTCATTTGCCAAGGGGTTGGGGGCGAAGAAAAGAACATGAGGCTAAGAGTTTAGAAATGTACATTTAGCCTTTGTTTTCTAGACTCACAGCTGGCTGGTGGCTGGTTAAAGCTGAAAGCAGAGTCAACCTGAGCCCAGCCTCCTACATGCACATGAGACCGTGCTGAGTCTGTCAAGAAGCTGAGCAGAGGACAGTAAGAATGGCAGCGTTAGACGCTGAAGTGATGTTAAGGGCAGAGAGTTGATTTTTCTTGACTAATACAGACAGCACCACTCCTCTCCTCTCTCTTTCTTTCTTTTTCTGGTTTTTCGAGATAAGGTTTCTCTGTGTAGACCAGGCTGGCCTTGTAGTCCTATAGACGCACTGCCTCTGTCTCTCAAGTGCTGGGATTAAAAGCGTGTACCTCCACAGCCCGCCTGGCACCACCATTTCTGTTTTTCTTTTTGTTTTTTACTGTGTGTGTGTGTGTGTATGTGTGTGTGTGTGTGTGTGTGTGTGTATGTGTGTGCGCGTGTGTGTGTGCGTGTGTGTGTGCGTGTGCGCGCGCCCATGGCACATTTGTGCAGGTGCCATTAGAGTCAAAAAAGGAACCCATGAAGATGGAAGCACGGGAACCTGAGAGCTGGACATGAGTGCTAGAAACCAAACACATGTCTTCCGGAAGAGCAGGGAGCACTTTTAACTAACGGAACTACTGGCTAAGCTTTGAACAGACACAAGAACAGTCATCTAGGTCATTCTCTCGATAGAGGGATACATACCAAGACGGGCTCAGGGTGTGATGCTTGCCTTTGCCTGCCTTGTTGGGGGCAGGAGACTGGGCAACAGCTGATGTGCTTCAGAAAAGTAAAATATACCCTATTTAAAAATTTAAAAGTATAAAGTCTTTTATCAAGTTCAGCCAAAAAACAGTATTGATCACTAGCCTGTGTTGTCTGCCATTGAGTCTATGTGAAACTTTGACATGTGTCACTGAACCTGATTCAGTTTTAGTTTCTTGTTGTGACATCAGAGATATTTTTAATGGCTCTAGGGGTCGGAAAGAGAAATATCCCAGGGTTAAGAGCTAATCCTGCTCTTGCAAAGGACCTGAGTTCGACTCCCAGTACCCAGGGTAGGGGGATCAAAACAATTCCAGTTCCAGGGATCTGGCCTCTACAGGTCGCCTCACATGTGTTCACAAACATGTGCATGTGCTCACACAGAGAACTAAAGACAGAAATCTCTTTTAAAATAAAAGGCTTCCAAATTAGAGTGCTTTTATATTTTTACTTTCTGTCTTTGGGAGAGTAGAGTCTTGATTCTTTGTGGATGGTTATTAGAGACCCATCTTTTGACAAAACAAAAAAAAATAATAATAATAATGCTTTAAAAGGTATTAAAAAGCAGCCACTCTGGAATGAACTCCAGGGCTAAATTACTTGATTCTCTTATGAAACAAAGTGATAAGGTGTCGGCATCTCCTGATCAGATCCATCCCAGACCATGTACAGTGGGGGCCATACCCCTTTGCATCTTCTGTGAAGAAATGATTTCATAAAGAACAGTTGAATGCTCGCCTTAGCACCACATATACTAAAAATCAGAACAATACAAAGATTAGCAAGGCCCCTGTGCAAGGGTGACAGGAAGATTCGTGAAGCACTCCATATTTTTCACAGCAGAGGTAGAAGAGTCAGCGTCACTCGGCCTGATGTGGCCATCGTTGCAAACAAGCAGCTTAAGGGCATGAGTCCTCCCAAGAGAATTAAAGTGCAGACTGAGTATATTGAGCTTTCTGAGGGCCCGGACAGCCTCCAGAAACGGGGGAAAGAAAGCAATCAGCAAGAGGAAGCCGAAGAGAAAGACACCTGGGTTCAAGAGAAACACCAGCTGCTTCACCCTGAGAATCACATTTCGTGAGAACAGGAGGGCGCCTGAGCTACCGGAGCTTGTCCCATGTGAGTTAATGGCTTCGTGTGCAAAAAGAAATCAGACCTACGCTGTAAAACGTTCTTCTAAAAATTTTTCTTTAAAAAAAAGAGCAGTTGAGGACTGGGTACGCAACTCAGTAGTAGAGTACCTGCCTAGCACGCAAGGCCCTGAGCTCAATCCCTGCTACTCATATAGATGGGTGGGTGGATGGATGGATGGATAGATAGATAGATAGATAGATAGATAGATAGATAGATAGATAGATGCAAAGAGAGTAATTGATAACTCTGAAATCACATGACATGTCTGATAGCTTGCGGTCTTTCATGGGTTTACTAGGAGGCCTGTCACTATTTCTGAACACAGAACTAGTGTATTTAGGGTTTCAAGCAACCAACTAAAGCATCTAATTTTAGAATAAAGGCAATTCATGAGTAGTCCTCATCTGTGGCTACTGTAGAGTAGTCCTTGGAAATTCTGACATCATGCCTATACTCTCAGGTACCCCATGACCCTGAGAAGCCTCTGGTAGTTGGCAGGACACTCTCCCCAAAGTCTCTCCTACCTCTCTGCCCTTCCGGTGTCAGAATGGCTTCCTCTGCAGCAGTTGAGGCAATGACTCCCTCCTGCAGATGGATCTAAGTCCCATCCCCATCTACCACAGAGGTCATAGATAGTGGAAGACCGATGACTGTGATGAGCACAGACTGATACCTCTCAGATCCCCTGCCACGGACAGACTTACTTTCCAGATGCAAAACCTGTAGCCAACAGATGGTTGCCAGCTGTCGGCATTTTCATGGTCACCCTTGATTAAAAAGAACCACTTTGCCTAAATGGAACCTTCTCGGCATGGTTTGCATTCACTAGCTAAGCAAGGCTCAGTAGCTGCAAGCTGGGACAGCTTGGTTTGGCATGGGAAATACGGTGGGAACACTCTCCAGAGTCCCAGAGCGCTGTCCAAGGTTTTCATTGGACCTCTATGGCAATTTAACTTTTGGGTCAGGTAACTCAATCCTGTTATCTGCCCCTTCTTCTTCAAGCTTGGTTTTTCTTCAATGTAAGAAACTTTGTTTTATAGAACTGTTTCTTTTTAACAGCAACCTCACTGAATCACAAGCTAGCCCCCTTTTAATATGTAGTTAAAACTCAAACTTCTAAGAGTACTATATAGTGATTATTAATTCTTTTTTTAATTTATTTATTATAATTTATTCACTTTGTATCCCTGCTATAGAACCTTTCTTATCTCTTCCCAGCCCCATCCTCCCTCTCTCATCTCCCCCATGCCTTTCCCAGTCCCCTGTTTCTGATACACAGAAAAGTGGAGAAGATTTTTCGGTTAGCATGTATCCTCCATTCCGTTTCCTCCATTACTAACGCTTTACACTAGGCTGGGTGTTTTTTGTGATGGTATGTTTGTTTGCTTGCTTGTTTGCTTCCTAGCTTGTTTTAAGGCAGGATCCCTAGTCTAGGCTGGCCTCAGATCCCCCAGATAGCCAAGGATGACCTTGAATTTCTGATACTCCTGCCTTCACCTCCCCAGAGATGAGACTGCAGGAGTGAGACACCGTGCATGCTTTACACCATGCTGGGAGAGCAGCGTCAGAGTGCTGTGCATGCTGGCCAAGCTCTCTGCCAACCCAGCTGCATCCCCAACCTCACTGCTACAAATAACAGCAGCGCACTGCTGTCAACTGGCCTACTGTTGTTTAGATTTCCTTTGTGCTCAGCTACTTCCTTTTCCTGTTCAGGGATTGCATCATGACCACCACATTGCATTTAGTCATCATGTTTCTTCAGGCAATGGGCCTTCCACAGGATTTGAGCCTATGCAGTATCTTGCATCTAAAGATCCATCTTAGAGGCTATTTCTAGAGGGAATCATGGTGGTGTTTACTGCCTGATATATTAGAGAGGTCAGGACAGAAAGACAACATGTTCAGGGTCACCTTCATCTACATAGGAAGTTGAAGCCCAGCCTGGGCAAGATGAAACCCTGTGTTTATTTTTTTTTTATTTAATTTAAAAAGAGGGGCTATAGAGATGGCTCCATGGTTAAGAGAACTTGCTGTTCTTTCAGAGAAACAGAGTTTGGTTCCCAATAATTACATAGGATGGCCCACAACCACATTTAACTCCTGCTCCAGAAGACTGGACACTCTCTACCCACCTCCAAAGACACTCACACGCATGTGGCATACACACACAGCCACACACACACATTAGTGAAAAATAAATCTTTAGAAACTTAGCAAAAAGAAAAAATAATCATTTGTTCCTATACCTAAGCTGTGTGACCGTTGGCTGCCTACATAACAGCCCTGCAACATTCTTCTTACTAACAACATCCCATTGTCCTGAATCACAATGTGTCTATGGCAAGAAACTAATTCCCAGCTTCTTCTTTGTTGGCTGGCCCAGGAAGATGCATTTAACCCAGACCTAACCAAGACATAAGGGAATGTCTTCCTGGGGCTTTCCCTCAAAAGAACACTTTTCTCTTGGGTAACAAACAAAAAGAAGCTACCATAACGGGGCTTTGCACACTGTTGAGGATTGATGTGCACTTAGTAGAGGCTGAGGGAGAAAGAGATGCTTTTCTTGGTGATACATGTGCTCGCAGAACAAACCTTCACTCATGCTTCTTGTCTTAGTTAGGGTTTCTGTTGCTGTGAAGAGACACCATGGCCACAGCAACTCTATAAAGGAAAACTCTCAATCGGAGTTGGCTAACAGTTCAGAGGTTTAGTCCATTCTCATCAATGCAGGAAGCATGCAGGCGTGCAAGCGGACACAGTGCTAGAAAGATAGCTAAGAGTTCTACACCAGAATCAGCAAGCAGCAGGAAGAGAAAGAGCCACTGGGACTTAGCTGAGAGTCTGAAACCCAAAAGCCAGGTCCCAGTGACACGCTTCCTCCACCAAGGCCACACCTCCAATAACACCCCACCCTGAGTCCAAGGGGTCGGTATTTATTCAAACCTCCACACTCCTTTAAGTATCCTAATGAAACCCAGACACACACACACACACACACACACACACACACCAGTGACAATATGAAAGTAGAAGGGGAACTTGTTAAAAAGATGAGAGGATTTGTAGGAGTATGTGCTAACAAGAGAGGGTGTGATGGGGTAAATCTGATTGAAATATGTTACATATGTATTATACATGTATGAAAGTGTCATAATGAAATACATTATTCTGTATGGTTAGTATTATCGTACTAATATATTAGTTTTTTAAACTCTTAAAATTATAAGAAGAATCCAAGGAGAGAGTTTGTTGATGTGGGCTTGGGCTCTGTTCTCAACCATCTGCCTTAGACCTTATGCAGCGATGCCTGTAGTCATAATGGCCTTGGGTAACAAGGCTGTAGGAGGTGAGGGTTCCTGATTTTCCTGCCATCAGCAACATGCACAACCCGTGCAGCTGGAATTTCCGCTAAACGCTTTTATTAAATATATATATACACCACCATGTCTATCTAGTAGGGGTAGCGTAGGAAAGGTATATCCAATGAGGAGCACACTGCTAAAAGAAAGAACTCATCAAGTTTGTGTCTGTGTGTTTCTGTGCGTGGCGCATGGTGCAGAAGCGTATACCCATGTGTGCCCACTCATAGGCCAAAGAAGACCACTGAGGGCTACTCTGTCACCCTCCACCCATCCTCCTTGAGACAGGCTCCCTCAACTCAAGACCCCAACAACCCTCTTTCCGCCACCACCTCCCCAGCTTTGGGGTTAGGAGAAAGCACAGCTAAGCCCGGCTCTCTCTCTCTCTCTCTTTCTCTCTCTCTCTCTCTCAGACACACACACACACACACACACACACGCATGCGCACACACACACACACAAGACAGGGTTTCTCTGGGTAGCCCTGGCTGTCCTGGAACTCTGTCTGTAGACCAGGCTGGCCTCAAACTCAGAGATCCTCCTGCCCCTGCTAGGATTAAAGGCGTGCACCACCACTGCCCAGCATTAAACCCAGCCTTTTACTTGGGTAGTAAGACTCCAAACTCAGGTCTTCAACCTGTCATGGCATGAACTCTAACCCTCTGAGCCACCTCCCCAGCCCAGAATGTCATGAACTTTTCAGAGCACAGGTCCCACAGAGGCTGAACTGGACAGTAGTTCTTGCCAAGGCAGCAATAAGACCCTTACTGGCAGGGTCTTCCTGTCTCTGCTCTGTTCTGCACCTTTCCTCTGCCTCCTAGCTCCCATTCCCCATAAAGATGCCTCACTTGACGCTTCCTGCTATTCTCTTGGCCAGAGCCCTTCAGCTTCACCTCCCATTGAAAGTCTCATCCTGTTAACCTGCCTCATCTCTGTCTGTGGCCACTCCTCAGGACATCTGCTACCTGGAGTGTCTTGTCAATCAGCTGCGCTTGGAGGAACAAGATCCCGTGATCCGAAGCCCAGTTGTGCAGTGCTGCCTCTGCCACGGGCTGTACAGGGCAGAGGGCTCAGACACTGAGACACCGCGTCTAAGACCCGGGGCAACTCCTAGCATCATGTCTGTTCTCCCATTTGCCACTTGAACCTGCTTGCTCTATGTAGTGTGGTGTGCGTGTGTGTGTGCATATGTGTGCATATACATGTGGGTGAATATGTGTGTGACATGCATGTGTTCGTGGGGGGAGCTGTGTGTATGGGTTCAGAATACACGCACTCTGTGTGAAGGCCCAGGGCAGCCTCAGATGTGGCTCCAGAGGTGTCATCACCTAGTTTTTTTGA